CCCCCCCCCCCCCTCCCCTCCCCTCCACTCCCCTCCCCTTCCCCTCCCCTCGTCGCCAGCACTACTAAATTCTGGACATAAGGTGAAGTCATGCGCTTAACAGTCACAGCAGTACGACGCTGGCCATGAGGTTGCGCAATACAGCACGAACCCTGCGCAATGAGGCCGCGCAATGCAGCTTCGATGCCGCGCGTGCGCACCCGGCAGCCTGACACAGCGCGTACTGCGTTCACAGACCATATTGCTCGACACCAACGAGCATCGATGCAACACAGCCTCTCTGCAAAGCCCTGTGGAGAAACCCCTCGCGTCGCGGAACACCCTTCGACTCAGCCTTATACCCTAGCGTGGCGAAATCTTACCGCATCGTGGAGCACACCCACCATAGCGTGACGTCCATCCCTGGCAGTACCGGCCGCACCCCTCCAGCACTATCCTCACAAGGGGGTTGGTCGCTGAGTCACTGCGGCTTCGACGCAACGCGTGCTGGCCTGTAATCCTGACACAGTGCGTGCAGCTGTGGGACCATAGCTGGTACACATGCGAGCGTTTACGCATTGCGACTTTTACGCGCGCCTGTTTTCACACACCTAGACACAAACGAGCGTCGACGCAACGCAGCCCCTCTGCAGAGCCGTGTGGCGCAATCTGACCGCAACGGAGTTCCTCTTGAGCCTTCTTATGCCTTCTTGTGCTCTCTGGCTTTGTTGGTTTCATCCATGATTGACCAAGGGGCACGTTCCTGAAACACCGGAGACAGTCCCTCACCAGAAAAGGTCCCGACAGCTACTCGGTCCGTCTCTACCTTTCGTGTTTCCCCCCCTCAAGTATATATATATAAAGCAAAGCTAAAGGGTTACGGTTACACAATATCCTAGTGAAGGACAAGTCCTTCATCCTGCCCATCATCCTGCCCATCATCCCTGGCGGCATGTAGCATGTTTGCAGGAGTAGTATACAGTACACACGTAGACTTTAAATATATAAGACATACAAGACGGTTGGTCTCCGTTGTCTAAGCTTCAGAAGTCAACGCAAGGGTCATGGTATGTGTATTCTTGTTCATGTAGTTCTGTTGGTCGTCATCCAGCCAGTTTTCGGGCTTTGCGTGATACCGAAGCTCCCAGCGTAGGTCGGAGTGCAGATGTTGCTAGTGCCCTACGTGTTCCGGCGGGGTGACACAGCTCTTTGGTTTTCTCAGAGTCCAAGGCTTCCTGTCACGGCCATTGCTTTTTGCAGAGAATAACCTGCAACAAAATGCAACGAATGTGTTTGGACCTTTCCAATCTTGCCGTGAAATGCCTCTCAGGTTTCGCAGTTTCTTGCTGCTTGTGCTGCAGGACTGGGTCAGAAACTTTCACTCAGCGTTTCTCAAACTCTTGAGTTGAATGTAGCTCCGCCCAGGAGCTTCTTTGGAGTGGGAGGCAAGACCTAAAAGCAAATGCCAAACCAAATCAAAGCAGATTGATTCGTGGCAGTTTGTTTGGTATAGTGTAGGTAGGTCAGCGCCAGTCTTGCTACGTCTTGCTTGACACTATGTTCTCTTTGTGAGTTTGCTTGACATGATGAGAGAGGCAGACCCTACACGGTGTTTGGTGGTGCGCGGCAGTCTACTCCGTGCAGGCAAAGCTGTTGAGGCCAGCATTTTTGTCATTTTTGAACTAGAAGTTCCAGACCTGTTCAACTTTAGGTCAAGACTCGCCTTGGATCTACCGACATCTTGCCTGAAAGCCCAAACACCAAAGAAACTTATTCCGTTGAGACCCAGCTGTTTGCGAGTGCCAACTGTTTGACGGTTTGACGTGTTTTGTGCCATTCCTGGCGACAGTACATTCCTGGCCAACTCGGCAACAAGAGCGACACACCTACAAAGAGCCCCGAACCAGCACGGCGTCCCAGAGGGAGGAGGTGTTGAACAATGCACTTCTTTCACTGAAATGACTGGAACCTGGAGCACGGACCTGGAAAACAGGGTTCTTGGTAGTCTTAGTCACAAATGATGTTCTACGTGAATGTCACCGTGATGTCACCAGTACAAATTTACAGTATCTGAATTCCCAGAATGATGCTGGTGTTTTCAATAAGAACAGTAAGCTAATATAGCATTTTGACCAAGTGCGTTCGCTCAGTATTGTGAGTGCAGTAGTTTTCCCGTGTTGCAAGTGCTTATTCTTGTTTTTTTGTTTTGTTGTATGCGTAGGGAGTAGTAGATTGAAGGGCAGGTTTTCAATTTTTGGAAAATATGCGCCTTTAAGAACATGAGCAGCTGTTTCCCCGCTCGGGTTGCCAACGCCTAGGTAGGTGGTGGATTTCAGGCAGCTCAATTGTTGCGCCAAGATCCTCCCAAAGAGGAGGAGGTTGGGCCATCATGTTGTTCCTAGTGAGCCCCTTGTCACAAAGTGGAGACAAGAGCGAATGGTAGTTGTTGTCAGCCCTGTCAGCACTCTGGGCATCCTCAACTCTGAAAGTACTTCAGCAGACTGCGGATTGTTCTTTTGCTTTTGCATACCCGAATGGAGCGGTTTCCCATGTAGGCTGCCTTTGTAAGTCGCTACATTGGCGTGGCGACCCTGAAACGTGCTGGCCAGACCCTTCAATGCTCAAACAGAGACTGCGGGCGAGGCACTACGTTGAAAAGGGGCTTTAAAGGGTTGCAAACTGAAGTGTGTGTGTGTGTGTCAACGTAAATTGAGGACGGGTGCTGCTACGCAGTTTCGGCAAGCCCGAACCTTAGCCATTGATGTGTTGCTCTGGTGTTTGAGCTTATGACCTGTTTCAACTCGAGGATTCGGAAAAGAGAAGAACAGCTTGGCAGGTGCTTCACTTCATTCTTGTTTGATATGTTCGAAGGGTCGAATTACCTTCGCCAGACCAGTGACACCGCTGACCGGCAAGCTGCAGCGGGGTATCTAGAATGTGATCATGCCTCAACACATGCTTGATAGTATATTTTTTGGCAGAATCGATGGGCAGTCGAATTAAGATGTTCATTTGTGTGCAGACCAGCAAATGAAATGCTGTCTTGCTTTCCTCTTCAAACCTCAGACAGTTAGAGTTACGAGACTGCCAGCAAAGTTCTGGCAGAACTTGTCCCTCGCAGTTTGCTTGGGACATCCTACTTTCTTTGTCAAAACTAGAACAGACAATATTTTGAAGACATGGCGGCACTTTCCGAGCTCTAGATAGGAGGCCTTGTTCTGTCTTGCTTTGAACTCCTTCAGTTGACCGGGAAAGGAAGCACCGGGAAAGGAAGCACGAGTGCAAAGACTGGAGACAGCCTATTATACAACCACAAAGCGGTTAAAAATGCAGTAGTTAACGGTTCCAGCACATCTCACATTGGGCCCAGGTCTTTTGATAGGCGAATTCCATGGGTGACCCGAAGTTCCCAAACAGCCCTCAGAAAGTGCCTGAAATCCAAGAAATCTACACATTTGCATTGTGGCTGGAGCGTCTCACCTTCGGCAACCTGAACGTTGGGTAGCTGCGAGAATCAATGGGCACTGAATAGGTATCACCTCATATATACCGTACGTGCTCTTATATACCGTGCATTTTTTGCCGCTTCGACTTGATGCGTAGAATTAGGCATCATTGTTGCCTCGTGTTACATAAACCTTGGAATTAGAAGCTGCTAATGTGCGTCTCCAAACCTTGGATGCGGAGGAGGTGCATAATATCCAGTGTTGATTGTCATCGCTCTCCACACATGTCTTTGAACAAAATACAGGGGTTAGGTCTGACTGATGCATGGCTAGTCAACTGACACGGTTCCCTCCTTGGGGAGAACGGCTGGAATATTGTGCAGGAAGTGAGCTCTCAAGCAGGGCATGAAGCTTGACCGTTCATGAATGGTGTATGCATCGCCATCACTTTTTGTTCAGAAAAAGCAGGGCATAGGTTTGGACTAACAAAGCAATTAATGCATCCCACCCATTCTCTCCGGCTGTGCTAACATGGTCACATAACATTTTGCATGGAGAGGTCCAAGCGAGGAGCTGTGATTTGAGCTTCAAGATTTGCCAGATTTGTTGACTTCAGACTTAAAGTGGAGTTGCTCACCTGAGAGGCTTTTTGCTTTCACACAGTGTGCCATGGACCAATCAATAACCATGAGCTAAGAGCAAGACGGAATGAGCTCAGAATCAGAAGAGAAACGTTCTAACCATTCCAGGAGCTTGTGGCCAATGGCTGCAGGCAGCCACCTCGGATACAGTAAATACAACATACAAACTCCGGAATGGATCCTTGAATGGTTCTTAGATTGCTTGCGAGTATGTGTTTTTTTGTTCAAAGTGTGCATGGGTCCCCAGGAATGAGTCGGAATGAGTTTGATTGTATTGCGCAAGCTGTTGCTCTCATCATGCCTTTGCTGCAACATACATTGACAGGCGGAAGCGCCTCTGATCGCTACAATCTTGTGTCTTGGTGGAAACTACGCGCACAGAAGGACAGTGCCCGTAGATCTCTTTACTGTCAAGGACACAAAGCGCTCTGACCCGGCTGTTGCTATGCATGGCACGTACGTATTTTATGCACCCTAGCCAGCTCATCACAATCATCACCGTCATCACGTGACTTTGGATGACCTATGGACGTTATTAGACCCATGTAAATTTGTGGGACAGCTGCCTTTGCATAGCTTACATTCTTCATTAACCTTTCATTGTGCTCAGAGATACGCTGTTGTTCCTGATGCTGATACTCCTTTGATCTATGATGATGACATGATAAACTAATCGTGGCCGAAGCGATCACAACAAGGAGAGTGATGCTCATTGCACTTTTGTTTTCACGCTCGAGAACGCCAGGTGCGTTACCATAGCTGGCCTCGGCCTTCTTCGTGTGGCGGGGCTGCTCGCGGGGTTAGGACGGATTGCTGTGTTTGTTAAGTTTTGTCAAACCAACATGCACATATTTTCATTTCATCGGCATGTATGTTCATTGATGTTACCACCACCTGCATTTGCTGGAAGAGTGGATTGTTGCAACTACTGTAGCCTGGTCAGACATCAATCCGAATGAACACCGAGCACACGGCAGAAGTATGTAAAACATGGAAAGGCAGAAAGAAAGGTCTGAGTCTAAAGGGCTAAAGAAGAAAGGTCTCCATGCTCGGTTTCTCAAACTGAGGCGGGGGACCACTTGGTAGGCCAGCTGCTGGTGCAATTTACAGCAGTTAATATCAAATTTATCGATATGTGGTATTGCACTATTGATTGATTGTGGTTTGTGGGGTAGTGGCTCTCAAGATGTGGATTGCGGCGAACGCTGGATTTGGAGCAGTGCTTTCATGGATCTGTGCTTCCTGCGTTTGATTTGTTGGAGCTTGAGCATATCAACAGTGCAATGTATCAATGTGAATTAACAAGATCAAATATGTTGGCAGAGTGATATTGCAGGTGCCACGAGAACTTCACTTGATGCTACTTGCCCGGTGCGGAGTTCAGATAGAATCTAGAAGACACATTCTGATGGACTTGGCAGCAATTGGTGGCAATCACAAAAAATTACTTTGATTAGCAAACTTTATGGTTTGTGGGTTAGTACGCTTTTGGTTCAACTCCTTTTTCAGATGACGGTGTATTTTGGCGAAACTTTGTTTATTCTTGTTGCGAACATTCAAGATCTGAAGAAAGCTGAGAGTCGGCAGTCCGGCAGGCCACGAACACGGCTGGTATGTTTGCATGTGATGGAGGCCAGCAGCGGGGTTGAAAGGCTCGACATCTCAAATCCAGGACTTGATATAGAATGATGGCTTTCTTCAAGATGAGGGTGACTCTTCTGAGGTTCTTTGCATGAAGTCCTCAAAGCGTTTGCTCGAGCGTGTATCAAGATTTGCAATAGTGATAGAAACAGGCTGTATCCGGAGTCCAGGAAAGTTTGGGGTTCAATTCATCCCAATTCTCAGCAGGATCTGCAGCACACAGGCCGACGGCTGAGGTATGCATATAAAGAGTCGAATTGCACCTGGAAAAAAAAGGTAATTCTGAGCGAAGAACGCAACGTGCCTTGGTGCTTTGACTCAGCTGGTGGGCTCAAGGGCGAGTTGAGGCCCACACCGGGCGCGGCCGAAGCGCCAGACACCGGCGCGAGTTGGTTGACGCCAATGTCCTTCGCCGCGAACCTGACGAAGATCGTGGCAGGCCGCATGACTCAGGGCAAGCTTCGTTCTTGTTTTGTGCGGAAGATTGTTGAAATGGACTTGTTCTTCGTCTTTGGATGGTTCATTCAAGTTGGCACATTTTGCTTCTTTGGAGGGAAGAAGTCGGAGCTGGCGGATCGGGAAAAGATTGCCCAGTCCTGGAAGGAGAAGGAGGTCCAGTGGGTGAGGATCAAGCAAGAACCATAGATAAGCAATAAACAATATGGCAATAGCTGTGATGATAAATATTGTTGATTAACCATGTCATGATGCTCCAGCGTTGTTGAGGGTGCACTGGGCCTTCTCCCCATACTTGGTTTGCTAGGCGAAATGACTTCAGTAGAGCTGATAGCACCATCACAAAGATTAAAGACCAGACCTAAGTGCAACCTGTTATTGCCATCATGTTTTCTCACTTTGACAAGGCAGTGTAGTAATGAACATGTTGACGTTTTACAATCTCTGACGAGACTTGCGCGTTCTTTGGAGTGAACAGGCAACCTTGCTGGATGAAGCAGTCAATTTGAGACCAGATCGCATTGGTGCAAACAACGTCAGAAAGGGCTGGCTTTGCATAAGCACAGCTGCTCTCATTGTTTAAGATATTAGTATGAAGCTTGAAGGAGCCAAGCACAACCAGCAGCGATATGCGTACTTGTAACTTGTTTGCCGTTTGTTTGAGCACAGGTTGCTCTATAACCCTGGTGTGCTTTGGTTTTCAGAGTTCTGCCAAGGTTTAAGGCTCGCTGCGTGAAGGAAGCAGAGTTGCAGAAAACCGAAGCGACCATCTCCTTCGAGGCAATCCTCAAAGCAATTTTCATGCTGCTGGCAGACGCCTAAACTGTGTAGGATAGACTGTGATCACAAAGAATAGAGACTACGTGACTTTCTCGTGCATGAGGCAGCACATAATTATGGAGAAGTCATCAAGAAGATAGCAGCCTCTCCCTGTACTTCGAAATTATCCAGTGTACTTACCAGTCTCATGCGAGAGCGGCAAACACCTACTGTGTATATAGACATATATATATATTTTATAACTATATACTGTATATATATATATACATGCACATGTGAGAAAATGCTACTTTTGATTTGAGAAATCGCACGCATGGAAAGCGGAACCTGAAAACTCAAGTCAATCATCAAGCATTTGCCACAACATTAATATATAGAGATACTATCCAAGAATCGAAGATGATTTCAACATAGATTTTCAGGGTGTTTGGGTTTGGAGGAATGCTGGTTGGACTTTGGCAGGTGATAACAAGGGAGATTCCCGACTTTCCAAAGCGAATCCTAACAGAGGCTTGGAGGCATTGAGGATCTCTGGTGGTAGTTTGTAAACATTGTGGATACGGTAGTTTTGAATTGTCAGCTTTTCAGCCATGGTACTGCATCAACACTTTGCATTTTTTCACGCTGCTTTGAGTTGGACAAAGCCGAATTGTGCTCCGCTGACTATGCAAACTCTTGTTATGCCAGGATTTGTTGCAGGGTTTTCCAAAGGTGCTGCATACTACATCCAATCACGGCGGGAGGGACACTTGCTTGCGGGACAGCGAGTCTAGATCCATTTTTGACGATGTTCATGTTTCGCTTTGTTTCATGTACAACTGCATATTTTTGAGGACTCCACGTACTTTGTGGACTCGTGGCCATCAGGGACCACTGCTGAGAGTTGGTTCTACGCCACGCGGGGCGTGAATTCCTCCTGGTCCCCGGGAGCACCCATCCTTTTCGCGGAGGTGGGAGGAAAACAAACCGCGCGAGAAACCACAGAACGCATACAGAACGCAAGAGAATTGAGTGAGGGCGAGGAATCAATGGCGAAACACATGTGAAAAGTTTGAAGAAGACAGAACGAAGAGAAACCATGAGTTGTTGGACAAGACTAAAGTCAAGAATTCAGCACTCTTAGAGGTTGAATTGTTCTCCGAATTTTTTCGGTACTGGTGCGGTTGCGCGGCCCCACTCCAACAGAGCCTTGGAACTGATTCCTTAAGCAGTGCGGTGCAGGTTCTTCAGGCGATGCTTCCTAAATTCGTGGACCGAGTGAAGGACATTGTGCGAGCAGTTATGGTCAAAGTAGACATTTTATAGTCTATATTATAGATACATATACTGTAGATACAAACATAACACATGTTAACATGCACACTGATTAGTGATTTGGATTTGGTCACCTTCGGGTCCTGAGAGGAGCTCGGCTTCCAGGAGTGCAACCACGAAGCGGGAACCTGGAAGGTGGCTGTCTCATGGCCGCCCCCAGAGGAAAGCTCGGCCCCTTGGAAAGCTCAGAACTCTAGATGGCCAAACTGACCAGTGCAGGAGGAAAATGATAAAAGTGGAAACTTGGGAGCACATACAAGAATCATGAGAAAATATATTAATATACAAATATGTTTTCACCCATTGATTCGCAATACGCTCTTCAGCAAAAGCAGCCAATAGACTTCACAGATAGTGCGAATCACGTTATGACCATCCTTGTGTGATGAATCATTCATCCGTAAAATTGGTGAGGTTCTGAACGAAGGGACTCTGTCCATCCTTTCTATGTACTGTAGTTGGACCTGCCCCCCAGACAGCTGTCACATTCTCAGAGCTTTTGCAGAATTTTGTCGTTGTTTGTAGTCCTGGTAGTTGCTTGCACGTCCGCATGGGAGCGCGACCATGGCAACACCCATTTTGTGTTTCCAAAACCAAAGTCTGAAGCGCACATCATTTTTTGCCGCCACGTTTGTTCTGCATGCTTGTGCGGGGCTAGGAGATTGTGGGTGTATATGTGTGCACCAGATGCTCATGGGTTGTTCCATGTCGGCAAGAAGTAACTGAACATTGCGAGAGGGACCGGCGTCTTCCACGCCATCCGCATTTTCTATGCTGGCGTGCTCGTGCCCTATGGTGGACGCGTGCAGTGCGTGGGCACACACTCCGGACGCACATGTCATGTTTAGGACCAGGGCCAATGTGATCTCGTATGCTTCGTGAGTTGGTTGAAGAAGTGCTTGTTTGTTCTTGTGCCTCTCCCTTTTTGCAGATTTCTTGACACCAAGGAGAAGAAAAAACGGCGCAGAGAATGAGGTCTCTGACCATCGTGGCTTAAGACCACTATTTGTACAACTCGACTTTGGTGAGAAGGAAGCTTCCACAGATCTTATATTCTAGAAGATATTGCCCAGCTGCTGCAATTGCTTCTTGTGGTCTTTAGTTTTTGTCAGCCACAAGCATGAAGGTTTGGTCTGTTTGGCCTGTTTTGGCCTCATGGCTTTGCAGGGGAGAGGTCAAACCACACCTTGCGGGGTTCCATTGCTCCTGCCAGTTCGTGGTCAATCGGAAGTGAAACCAAAGAATATGATATAGAAACAATGTTGGCTATTAGAAACAAGTGCATCGCTACTAGTAACAAGTGCCTTACTAGTAGTAACAAGAAGCTATTAGAAACAATAGAAGGTGAGAAGACTTCTGCCCCGACAAGTCTGGGTCCGTGACCAGCGCCTTGTGTTTTCCCCTGTCCTCCCGAGTCAAGGGGAGTGGGGAGGAAAGAGAGGGGGGAGCAGCCTGAATATGTGAATTATGTAGTGGAAATATGAAAACCTTCAATGAAAGGCACCTGCTACACCTGCTGCCGTACAAAGACAGGCTCCACAAGAAGCCTGAAAGGCTTCGGATTCGAAGCGGCTTGGCGTTGCCTCGGCGAAGAGAGCAATCTTGTCCTGGCTCAGTTGGCACGGGCTAGCCAGACATCACATCAGACTATGGCGTAACTCCAGAGAAATCTTGTCCTCAAGCTGTTGCATGTTTGGGCATTGAACACCCAGATCAATGTCCAAGATCTTGGCATGCAGGAGAGCAGAGATTTAACAGTTTAACAATCCTTGCATTTCTGGCACTGCTGCAGGTTCCAATCTATTTGCTGACTTCTGTTCGTTTTGTGCTTTGCCAGTCAGCATGCTTAGGCGGTCATATGACATCTCTGGCGCTGAGCAAGTATCTTGGCCTGATGAAGACTCCGAAGTGTTCGATGACACAAAAGAAAACGTGTCTTGAGTTATATAATATAATCCTCAGACAGCTCCTTTAATTACATTGTAGACTCGTAGACTGCCAATATGTGAGGTCCGTCGCTTGCGGACAGCCTGGCCCTGAGAAGCTGTCCTTTGCTTTGTCCTCCACTATTCCTTGTCCTCTTAGGTCTCCTCATGCGAGTTCACACGAATCCCAACGGCAACTGACCAGGAGGGGATTTTCCTACAGATCTGAAGGGAGCTCTGTGAACGGACGAAAGTCACAAGACAGATAAGACATGCAGATGCCAGTGACCTGTGGGGAGCTTTTGCCCCCTTCTTCCCGACAGCTGACAGCTAGGTCTTAGGGGGGTAGCGGTATTCAACAGAGGTGCCGTGGCCACCACCTGAGCCCATGGTGATGGAGTTGCCAGGCGGGGGCGAATCCACAGACGAACGGCAGCAACGGCAACGATCAGCATGAATGTCAATCCCTTGCTTTTTGGGTTGTTGCAGAAAACCGCAAGCACTCAGACAGCCAGGGTGGAATGCTGAACGCTTTCGCCCGAGACCTCAGGGCAGTTGTGATCAAAAATGCTTTTTGGGGACACGTTTGCTATCTAGAATGTACGAACTGCCTTGCTTGCTTTTTGGCTGGACAGCAACGCTCTTCAGCGAACCCGATCCTTGGTGCTGCTGAAACTCTGAACCCCTTACTAACAGTCTGTCAGTGACATTCATCCCCGTGTTGACAAGCTCAAAGTGGTTTGTTCTTCGCCTGTCGCTTGAGACTTTGCCGTGCTTGCCACAAGACATCCCAGCTTGCATAACACATTTTGTAGCACATTTGCTTGGTCTTTACTACGCGTTTTCCCGTTGCAAACACCGCATGCATAGCAATTTGCTTAGGCTCTTGCAGGACAACCACCCGAGCGGCTAAGTCACAGTCTGCGTTTGCGTAGCCTATTCGTAGCCTTGCTTTAGAACTGAGGCTCAGGTGCCAAGCAAACGATTCCACACCGTTCACATAGACTTTCAGTTTTTGGCCAAACCTCTCCATGATTTTGTCAGTAACACACTGTTTTTTGTGGACTTGGGACTTGTTTGCAAGCAATCGGAGCTAATAATCCTCGGGGGCGCCTCTCCTTACCATGCGTTTGCATGAGTTGTAACATGTTGCCCTTGAGACATTCTGCGGTTGGTAAATTTTATTGAATGGGACAGGCTTGACGTACAACCCAACAACCAAGGCCACAATGCTTTCCTGGAGCGGTTTAAGGACAAGCGTGCAGTTGTCACTGGGCCCTTTTGCTATGAAAGTTTTTCTTGCTTTTCACGCAAGTCCAATCAGGGCACCTTGCTGGCTAATAGCGGCTAACCCGTAACAGCTCGGCTGAAATTGTCGCTGAAGATACAGGCTGGACTAGATTCGACTAATCGAGTGCAATATTTGGGGTTTTGAATAAGCGATGGTCAAGGGGAAAGCCCTCCTTGCAAGCCCCGATGTTTAATGAGTCTAACGTAGTTCAACAATTGCCCGGACCAGATTGCCCCTGTCATCGATCACCAATACATAATCTCGAAATATCAACATGCTCACGGATGAACAGAAAGCACCACATGTCATGACAATCTAGAGAACCACAAAGCACTCACAAGCCATGGCAGATCACAACAAATCATCACGGATCTCTATGGATCACATGGAAGCTACTAGGAGCAAAGGGCATCGCTACTAGGAACAAGAAGCTAGTAGGGGCCCAATCTCACACACATGATTATAAGGTCCAGACTCCAGACTCCTTCTTCCAAAAAGTGTGGCATAGTCGCACGTACTCAAGTTGGTTTTCGACAGGGTTTAAGAACGCCAGCTTTCCGGCTGGGAAAACGCTCAGCGCCGCCCAGCACAGGTTCTGTTCTAGTGAATTGCCCGTTGCAAAAAAAAACCATTAGCACTTCACCGTAGCAAAAGAACTGGCTACCGACGCAAAAACTCAGGCTGCTAGAGCCTCGATGGACATGGAACTGCTTTCATGGTTGGACTCTTTTGCACTCACTTTAGCCAGGATTTTTTCACTAGGACCTAGGCGTTGGGGCAAGTGGCACTCAGACAGTAGGTGCTTTATCCTGGGTGTGCGCGCGTGTCCTCTTCGTAGACAAAACGGAACGTGTGAGAACGCTATTTTATGATTTCCCTGTGTGTGTGTTTTTCCCCAAACAGTTTACTGTTGGGGTCCTATCTTAGAAAGAAAAGAGCTGGCCACACTCACTGGCCGCGCGCCTGAACTCTGTCAACTCTGTGGCTGGGCTCTGTGGCTGGGCTCTGTGGCTGGGCCTTGTCCTCCTCTTGTCCTCCTCTTGGCCGC